ACTGTTTATTGGATTTCCACTCCATGATTGCTGAGTAAAGAGTGTAATTAGCAAGAAGGTTCTTGTTTGGTAATGGAAGGTTCGTCACCGGCGATGTACCATTCTCCCTCAGCCATTTCTCTATCGATTCTCGATCGTATGTATACCCATCCGCCGCAACGCACGGCTCGTTCATCACTCCCTGTAATCAACACCGAAGAAAACCAGGTCAAAATCGAGTCGAAAACAAGGTTTCTTGTTTCACAAGTAGCCAATATCGTTTCTAGGTTTTGTTTGTTCAAACCTTGAGAAGTGGGCAAATGAAATGAGATGGAGGACCCGACAGAGTTCTCGATAGCGAGTTTTGAGCTTTGTCGACGACTTTCCTAAGCCGTTCCAAAGCCGGGATGATCTGATCTTTAAGATCCGGTCGGTCTCTGCGTCTAAGTTCCGTACAACACAGTCCCAAAGCAGCTAGCTCACGAGTCTCGTTAATAGGCCAAGATCCAGCTTTCACATCCAACAATGCCATAAACTCAGCATCGTTTCCAATCGCTTCTTCCACCATATGAGTAATCGCTATTGCGGGTTTCGCGGTTATCAGCTGCAGAATCACAACTCCCAGTGAATACACATCTGATTTAGGTGAGATAATCCCGGTTCGCTGGTACTCAGGGTCAATGTAACAGAGCGTTCCCACGGGACTGGTTTTCTTGAAGACGGTTAGCTTAGAAGAAGCGTCGTCTTGGTTAACCATTGTTGAGAGACCGACGTCGCCGAGTTTGCTGACGAAGTTGTGGTCAAGCAAAATGTTTCCTGGTTTGAGGTCACGGTGAATGATTGGTCTAGGCTTGGACTTGTGGAGGAAGACGAGCGCTGAAGCGACTTCTAATGCGATCCTGAAACGCTCGAACCAAGGGATTGGAGGTGTGTCGTTGACTAGCATCAACCGGTCATCTAAGCTTCCGTTGTCCATGTACTCGTAGACGAGGCAGCCTCGTTCGGGACATGCCCCGAGGAGGAGGACGAGGTGAGGATGTCGGATTTTGCTCAAGATCTCAAGCTGTCAAAACATAGATACAAAACATTTAGACTCTAAATGGTAATTCTGCGGAAAATCAAACTATTGAACTCGCAGAATAGCGTAATTCCTTAGATTCTGGTTATTAATATATATGCGGAGTATCGTCATTTAAGCGAAGTTTGGTACGGATTTTCTAACCTCTTGATCAAACTGTTTAGAGAGCTGAGTTTCTCCTGCGTGAAGGACCTTGACAGCGCCGGTCGTGTGATGCAGATTGCACTTGTAAACGGTACCATAGGCTCCAATTCCGATTTTGAGATCTTGCGAGAAATCAGAAGTCGCGGCTGCGAGTTCCTCCCACGTGAAATGTTGGTATTGGATCCCGGGAGAGACGAGAGAAGCCTGAAGCTTATCTTTCTCTTTAGCGTCGCGCTCTGCTTTGATCTCAGCTTCTCTTCTATGTAGAGCTTCTCTCATCATGAGTTCTTTAACCTTCTCTGCTTGCTTCATCGTCTCTTCGTACCTCTGCTTCTCCTTTGAAGCTGTATCTTTTGCTACTTCTTCCTTTTCCTTCAGCTCCACAAGCTTCTCTGATTCCTCAAACCGCTGCTGGTTCAGCGCATTAAGCTGCAACCAACACAAAACAATAAGAACACGAAATGTCAACATAAAACGAGAAAAGCCGCAGTTTCTAACAAAAACAAAAAAAACCTTTTTCGAGGCATCAACAGTCTCGGTTTGAGCCATGGCATACATCTCCTGAACATGTTTCAGCTCTGCTCTTAGCTTCTCAATCTCAAAGC